TCACCCCACCACCATGGAGAATGGCTGGAGAAAGACCTCAAGCAACCTCGAGGCAGGGACCTTAAAGGACAGCATAAGGGGAGTGTTTAGGGGTATGAAACAGTCTCAGGATTGGTGCTTTTCCACGTTTGGGTGACCTACCCTGTGTTGATTGGCCAACTGGTTGTTATGGCCCATAGGCCCTCACAGGGCGGTTGCTATATTCTGCATGTCACTGTTGTGCAGTGTCCGTAAAGCACGCCCAGAGGCATAAAGCACAGCCCCACCAGCTAACTTCTGATTGGTTCTTTGTCATGAGGAGGGCATCTGACCTTAGTGACCAGGACAGGAGCAGCAAGGTCATGCAAGCACATGTTAGCCTATAATGGCTGCTAAAATGGGGAGACTGGTCACTACAATTGATGTAAGTCTTGTTCCGAACTTACAATGGTGTAACCAGTCTTTTTCTGTCCCACTTGTCAACTCACAAATAACCACACAGACTTCTTGTTAATTATGAATGCTTAGCCTTAGCTAGGCTTGTTTCTAGATAGATTTTATAACTTAAATTACCTGTATCTTTTAATCTATGTTCTTTTATGTGGCTTGGTTACCTTTATTCTGTACTGCCCATTCATCTTCCTCTATGTCTACCTGGTGACCCTGTTTTCTTTCTCTCCAAGTCCTCTCTCTTCTCAGATGTCTTGCCTAAACTCTTTCTACCTAGGTTGGATTGATGTCTTTGGGGCAGAGATCAGAACCAGCCTAACAACCCTGGGTCCGACCCTGAGTGGGGGAGTGTGGACAAGGGAAGGCTAGCTATCCAATGGCATTAAAGTAAAGGCAGAGGCATCTGATCATAACAGGAGGGCAGGGTCAGTCAATACTGAATGCACCTAGTTTATTGCTACATCATCTTAAGTAACCATCTAAAGGTGGGTGGCAGAAGACATCTATTATCATGTATAAAGAGCAGGTAGCAGTTATTTCCCTTAATCCTAAAGGCACTCCTTTGCAGCACATACTCAAGCCTTCAGGCACCCTACACCAGCACATCTCACCCAGTCTTCAGGGTGGGTGCAAACTCGCCCTGGCCCAAATCTATTGTTATTTAGATAGGAGCCATTCTTCAGAGGCCAGGACATCCAGCAGCTGTTAGCTGACATCTAAAGACAATAGAAATCAAAGCTCTCTTGAACTTGTGGCAGGGTGGAATAGCTTTACAAATGTACAGGCTGACACTAGGTAATGGCCATTAAGCTCTTTATTAAACCAATCATAGTGGCACATCTTCACACAGTGTAAAGGAGTATTCCATAACACAATGGTAGCATCCACATATATGCATTCTTAAAAAAAAAAAAGGTAGATTCTTGGTCTCAATTTTAAACGCTAATCCAACAGATTTAGGATAGTGTAGGATTATGTATCTTAAACATTAACTGCCTTAGAGAAGAAGAGCACATTTATCGAAAATACTAAATTTGGGGAAAAGAAGATTAAAAAAAATAGGTCAAAGTGTTAGCTACTTACTCAGACAGCTTCACCAAAAAAGGAGAAACTAGATCACACCGGCCTGATTCCATCCTAGTATTCTCCACAGAACACAATACTACTCTATCAATTACTTCAGAGATTACTGAACACAACAACCTTGTGGATTTTTTTTACAGTGTCTTACCATGTGGCCATGGCTGTACTGAAACTTGCTGTATAGACCAGGATGGCCTCAAACTCACAAAGATCCTCCTACCTCTGACTCCTGAGTACTGGAAAGAGCTGGATTTGGGTTTTTTCATAAATATGTTCTGATTGAAATGGGATTGGCAGCTTTGGAGGAAAAGTTATGTTTTGTTTTTGCTTCTGTTTTTTGTTTTAACCTGGATATCTTGGACTTTACTCTCCAGGTCATAAATCTTCTTTTGTGCTCTGTAACAATATTCTGAGTTACAGTTTTATCAACATTCAAAGTCAGTATTTTGCTCAATGATTCTGGACGGAATTTATAGGCTTAATAACTATGTCGTTATTAAGAACTCACCTGCTTTTCCACTGTTTGTTTGTTAGTCATTGCTAAACTATTGAACTGGATTCTATCAGTTCTTGCTGCTTTGCCAAATACAACCTATCTTCAGGCAGCACAAAACTCTACTTAAAATCCTTCGGCAGTCAACTGGTAGATTGTTTTATAAAATTCACTAAGAAAGTTGGGATAAGAAAAAGGCAAATGGGAATGGAGAGATGGTTCCATGGTTAAAGGCACTGCTGTTCTTCCTGAAGACCTGGGTTCTATTCCTGGCACCCCCCTGACTGCTCACACTGTCACTGCAGTTATTGAGGATTTGATGCCCTCTTCTAGCTTCTGGTACCCAGACAGATATGCAGGCAAAACAACCATACACATAAAATAGAAGCAGTAAGTGTGAAATTAAAAGAACACAGAATGCAAGAGGACCAATGACACAGGACCAAAGCCATCCTGAAATGACTGAGCAAAGTACCCCTCCCCTCAATGGGAGCAGCTTTTCTCCTTCACCACCTCAGGACAGCTGCAGGCATCTTCACAGGGTGATAGGAGCCAAAACAGCCAGTCCTCAAGAGCAGGTATGTGCTTGCTGCCATGTAATACAAGACACACTTCCAAGTCTTCTATCTCTTGCCCCTTACTAACTGCATTCTAATTTGCACAATCACGAAATGGTTCTCACTACACATATTCAGAAACTTCCGGGATTACCCTTTATGAGATGCATCTGTAATATGAAAAATAAATGACCCAGAGACTGGCATTGGGGTTCAAGCTTCAGGTTGAATCTCAGAAAAGCAAAGCACTGGCCTCTAGCTCTCACCGTCTAGCTCAGCTGAAAGGGCTGTTCCTGTCTCCAAGAGCCTTTCACCAAGTCTGAGTTTGTAACCTCTCCTCAGAGTGGCTGGAAAATGAATGCTCCTATCTTCAGCGTGGCTGGAGAACGAATGCCTCTCTGAGACCTTATTTCCCTAATGTTGGGATTAAAGGGGTGAGCTATAATTCTCTTTTAAACTGATTCACTCTTGTACAGATCTGGATTGCTTTGGACCCACAGAGATCCATCTGCCTCTTAATCCTGAATCCTAGGCTTAAAGGTATGCACCACCACCTCCTAGCTTCAGCCTGCTGGGATTAAAGGTGTGTGCCTGGCTTCCATGGCTTGTGGCTGACTTTGCTTTTTGAATCTTCAGGCAAGCTTTAATACATCATAAATAACATATCACTACAAGTATCCATTTCCTTCTTTTTGTTGTTGCTGTTGTTGAATCTGGACCTGAAGCTAATGGATAGGCTTCCTCCATTTAGAGAAACTCTTCCTCCCTCAGCTCCTGGCTCACACACCAATTGTCTCCATAAGCACCCTGATTTGCTAAGCATCTCCTAACCCAATCAAGTTTCCAACCAAAATTGAACAATGTGCAGACATATGATTAGCACCAAAGTGTTAAAAAATACCAGTAAAATATACGAAACATAAAACCCACTAGCAAAAGTGAACACAATCTTCTCAGAAAAAAAGATATCTAAATGACTGATGCAAGTATTTTTTATTGTCATCATTTATGATCAGATAAAGAACACAAAATTTAGCCCACATATGATAGCATTAAATAGATAGAGATCAGCAAATTTTAACACAACCGAACTGGTCCATCAGTGAATAGTTCTATTTCTACTATTTTATCGTTGCTGTTTTCTTACAGAATCTCTTAGGGGCAGTAATTCTGAAAATGGAATTTTGGAGAAGCGGCATCCGGATGAGAACGTGTGAAAGATGCTTCAATACCCTCTTCATGGCTTCACTGCTCCAACGTGATAGTCAAGACACAGTGACTGCCCTTTGATGAGTAATTTGAAAAGCATTTATTTATTTGTTTAATTGTTTATCTGTTTGTTTATTTGTTTATATTTTGAATTGTTTAGCTGCAGAATGTCTACTTGGCTGAGATTATGCTTCAGGTGATGTATTATGCTGCTGCCTAGTGGTGACAACTTATAATGACACATGTACTTTCCATCATTAAAGAGTTTCATGTTTTGACGCACCACCAAATCTTTTATGCGGCATTTCTCTAAAGCAGAAGAAATACTTCTTTGTAAAACTTGGCTTTTTCAGTGTCTGTATAAATACTTTGTTCTTATAAATTTGGTAGGCTGCTGTAACAGCGTCAGATACTAATCTAAAAACTGTTCCTTATTCTTGACGACAATATCTTGATATTTTTTAGGACACTCACTTAGCATCCATCATGAACTTACATAATAATTTTATCTCATCACTTTGCTAAAATTAAATCCTGAAAAGCTAAGTAGTCTTTCCTTTTGTTTTCCTCTTGACATATCAAGTGTGAAGTAATTATCACAATATGGTAACATTTTCACACAAAGTTCGTCAGGGCTTTAGGATCATAGAATGTCCATCTGTGAAAAATATCAGATAATCCAAGTGTTTCTTATGCATTAAATATATAATTAGATACTGATTTATTACATAAATGATGAGATAAATCATATATTATATAAATCTTATACATATTATATATGTAATTTTATAGTTTATATAAAAATTATACATATGTAAATAAATATACTAAATATATCAATATATAATATATAAAATATATATGTTATTATAAACAAATAAATATGGAATATAAACTATATAAAATATATATAAACTTTAAAAATGTATAAGATAAATATATGTAAATATATATAAATATAAAGTATAGAAATGTATAATATATATGTAAAATAAAATGTACATAAAACAAATATAAGAGTATATAAATAAATATAAATTATATAGGAAATAATTATAATATATAAATATAAACAAACAGAAAATGTGCAATATACACAATACATGTAAAATAAAATATACATAAATATAATATATGTAAATTTGAATAAATATTAAATGATCAAACTTAAGAAACAACTTGAGAATGGCGGTTAGGTCTGTTAATTAGAATTTGTGTTCGTTGTAAACGGAGCGATTTTCTGAGCTGTCAGTTGGTAGGTTATTTCTTCTCTTCCTGTTTTAACTGAAGGCTTAGCAAACACACTTCACAGGATGTGACTTGAGAAAGACAAGTTTCTTCAACTTTCTGCAGTGTTGCTCATTTTGAGTAGGACTCTGAGCAGTGTTAGTTTTGGCAGGTGAAGATGACCCTTGGGGTTCTTTTAAGGTTCATTTTTAGCTGTATTGGGCAGGGGGAAGGGAAGGAAGGGAGGGAAGGCAGGGGGGAGCCTCCTGTATATGGCTGTGTGCATCGGTGCTCAGCAGAGGGCACAGAAATCTTGGGGACTGGGCTAACAAAATGGCTGTAAGCTGACTGACATGGGTGCCTGGCAACAAAACTGTCCTCTAGAAGAAAAGCGAGCTCCCTTAACTGCTGAGCCATCTCTCCAGCCCCTCACTCCTCTTGGTGTTCTTTGCTCTGGAAGGGAAGAAGGGAGGCATGGAGAAGGAGAAAGAAGGACGAAGAGGAAGAAAAGTTGAGGGGCTTGAAACCCCCATCTGAGCTATAAACTGCGTGTTGATAATATCCGCAAATGTTCCGCATCTCTGTGGTGTGTGGGAGTGGCTTTCATGCCGGTCACCGCACATACTAGTACGCCGCTCTCTTGTTCCCTGCATTGCGCATTTGATGCTCAGTTCTCAGGGTGAGTAGTCCCTCCAGTTGTCAACATATACATGCTTGTAATTCCGTGTGTGTGTGTGTGTGTGTGTGTGTGCGCGCGCGCGCGCGCGCACACACACACACATTGGTTCTCCCCTTCCACCACATGTGAGTCCTAGGAATGAAACTCAGGTTACTGGGCCTGGGAGCAGAGCCCTTGAGTCATCTCAGCTACCTTCTTTCTTCTTTTCAGGGGTTTTGCTTAGGTCTGTAATTGTAGATACACCCGATGATTTTTGGTATAAGAAGTAGTTTTCACTGTGCATCTTGTCTTTCCCCCCTTTCTTATACTGGCAAAATTTTCAAGCCAAAATTGAGGGAGGCACCCATATTTTCCTTGAAGGACATAGAGTGCCACTTTTACAGACTCAGTGATTTGATAGTATTATGGGTTTTCACAGCCACACTGTTATTGGGGGGGGTGGCTGTGTTGGTGTCTGTCCTTGCCTGATTTTTGTCTCCTCCATTCATTGGTTAAAACCTCTTAAAGCCCACCACCAGTTATGTACTTTCTACATCGAGATGACAGCTCCTAAAGGTTCCACAACCTCCCCCTGAATATCATGCCTACCTAGGGACCAAATGTTCAAATACATGAGCCTATAAGGGACATTTCTCATTCAGATCACTGCACGGTCCATCATTGAAGAGAAGCCAAGGCAACAGGCATTTGAAGCAGCTGGCCACATTACATCTACAGCAGAAAGAAAGAGCAATGAGTACTGCACACACCCTAATGCTTGACTCAGACTCTACATCCTCTTACAGCTCAAAATCCCCTGCCCAAAGAAGATTAGGGATGGAAATATAAGGGATTTAAGCGGAACGCCCATTTGGGGAACACAGAAGTTAAGTCTGTCTTTAAAAAGTACTAACATCAGCTTGGGTTTTCAAAGGGGAAGAGCAGACTTCCTCATCAAGCACTCTCGGTTCCTGCTGTGTCGTGCTTGGTCATCAGCTCAGTTCCTCTTATTCCAGGTGGTGGGAAGAAGTCCCATTGCTTGAGAAAACCATCCAGTTCCCTAATTCTGCGTCTTCTTAAGTCTAAAGTCCTGTTGGGACATGAAAGATAAGCCTGGGACCAATGGATCCCTTTCTTTGCTCCTCTTCCTGGTTAATTAAATTTCTTGTCTCTGACCCCTGCTTCTGGGTGATAATGAGACTTGACTGCTCCCCCAGCAAGGAAAAGAGTCAGAGGACTGAGAGAGGCTGACAATTCATCAGTGTCATCAGTTTGGAGAGCTGTCTCTGGCCAAGTTCTGAAAACATTCCCTTCCCAGTCCTCGACAGGGACTGACGTTTGCCTAGATACTGCACTCTAAAGAGAGGCCCTGTCTAGGCGGTTACCACATTGACTACCAAGTGTTTCTCTAGATTCACAGGCCCCAGAAAATCGAATGACCTTTCTAAGTCCCTTCTGAATCTTCAGGGGGTCTGAGTCCATTATGAAACAACATTTCTGGCCAGAAACAAAGGAAGGGAAGGTAAAATATGGCAGCTAACCTGCTCTGCGACACTTTCTTACCCACTGATGCCCTCAGAGGCCCTCCATCCCAAAATGCAAGATGGAAGGAGTCCTCTCTTTCATATTGAGAAGGTTTTCTCGTTGAAGTCACTTTCTTTGTCTCAACACCTTTTCTCTCTACTCAGCTACCTGGAGATGGGACAAAGAAAGCACCTCCCAGCATAGCTTTGGGTAACTGGCAGGACAGGTGCATCAATGAGCTGAGAAACACATGTCCTTTGCTCCTCCTTTAAGTCCTGACCCACAGGCCGCACCACCAGTACACCAGTACACGGAGACCTGGGGAAAGACAGGGGCAGTCCTGAACCACAAGCTGCACCAGCCGTGCATAGAAAACAGGGGGAAGGGAAGGGGCAGGACTATTCAAACCCTGGAATAGATCACTCCCTTCTCCCTGCAGATGCTTCAAAGTAAAGTGGATCGTTGCAGCTCTTCCTCCGACCGACCGCAACCGGTGTACTATTATTTCTGGTGGTTTCACAGAAACTCCTGTTTTCGTTGGGAAATAGAAACGAAATAAAGATGTTAATCTCTGGGTCGGTTTTACTCAGAATTTCCTATCTACACCAAGTGTGACCCTCACCGTGTGATGTAGCACACACACCCACAAACAGCCTTATCAAATCCATCATGCTACGCAGCAGATCAACACACACTAATTTGAAGAAGCTATGACAAGAGGAATCGAATTCAAGCAAACCCAGACATTGGGATGGGTTGGGGTAGCACGATTTAGTCACTTTTGTAGTTCTTTAAGACTGAACAACTGTGTTTTTGTTTTTGTTTTTCTCAAAACGGAGCCTGCCCTTCGAAGATGGTACTATTGTACAAATGGGGCCAGTTATGTGAGGGGTTGTGGGCCAAGGTTAGGTGGATTGACAAATGCGGAAATTCTGGTGCTTGCAACCTTGCTTAAAAAGGAAATAGCCCTGACAGTAATGCAGACTCACAGTTCCAAACTGGGAACTTAGGTGTAGGAAGGCTGGAAATGATACCGAAGAAAATAAGTAGAATTACGTTTGACATTGTTCACAATTTCGGGGAAAGGCACGAGGCACTGAGGTTCTTCTCGCAGTACTTGCATGGAGCCACCAGAGGGCGGTAGAGATCGGTTTCGTCCGTCTGCGAGTAAGCGTTAAAGAGACCTGAAGCTTGGATAGGAGAGGGGCTTGGGAGGTCCCAACCCCTTGCTGAGAAGCTAAGGGCACTGGTGCCAGGAGAGGAGGGAGAGTCCGCTTTCTTCAGAGGCACAACTGTGAAGGGGATGTGAAACTGGGACTTGTGGGAACAAAAGACCTCGGCCAGAGGCCCACTTCCCCATCAGTCTGGGAGCAGGCAGTTGTAAGACATGTTTACTGACAACATGTTTACTGACAACATGTTTACTGAAAACAACCCAGTGCCCTAAGAAATGTTTACCGGAGCTATAAGTTCCCGATAAGGGCTCGATCACTGAAACACCCTGACTTTGATCTTTCCAATGGCTAGCACTCCCTACCCCCCCACCCCGCCCACCCCCGCAGCCGACTCTGGAGTCAGAGACATATAACCACCAGCCAGGGAGAGGAAAAGCGGCAGAAGCCTTTCTGGAGGGAAACGTTCTCTTGAGCCTTCTTGGGGAGCTGTGTCATCAGTCCTGACACCCTGGCCACATTCTCGGATACAGGCTGCGCAGCGGGGGCGGCACAGACTAGCTGGAGGTGGGGTGTGGAGAAGACTATCACGAAAATACATTGTACCTTGAGTATGGCATTCTCAGAGAACACCTTTCAAACAGATTTTTAGAAAAACATGCTGCTGCTGCTGCTGCTGCTGCCCGCTGCTGCCACAGCCTACGATCCAAATGAGTCTAATAGCTGACTGAAGAGGCCATGACACAGACTTCATCAGGGGGAGGGCTTTATTTTGTTATTTTGCAGTTACGTTATCCCCTTCTGTGACAAAATAAAAAGCAACAAACAGCAAAACATCATAAAGAAATAAAACAACTAGATACAACTGACTCCACCTTAACTGTAGTTGGCTTTGGTATAAGCCAATATGGTTAAGAAAAACCACCAGGACTGGGGAGGGGCAGGGATAGGAGCTTGAGGAATTAAGTTGGGGTGGGGGTGAGTGGAGGGGGAGAACACTGAAAGAGATGACTGGAATGGGGGCGTTCTTGAGGTCAGGTGGAAACCTGATGCCAGGGAAACTCCCAGGAATCCACAAGGATGATTCAGCTTTCCAGTAGCTGCGTAGCTCTGCCTCTGAAGAAAGACTCCTAACAAGAGTGGATAATGTAGCCTGAACTGGCCATCTCCTATGATCGGATTGGTGACTACTCCAATTGTCATCAGAGAGCCTTCATCCAGTAACTGATGGGAACAGAGACCCACAGTCAAACCTTGGGCCAAGCTCAGGTAATCCTGCTGAAGAGAGGGAGGAAGGGTGGACTAACCAGAGGGGTCAAGGACATCACAATAAAACCCACACCTAAGCTCATAGGAACTCACAGAGCCTGAACTGACAACCAGGAAGCCTGCAGGGGACTAACCTTGGCCCTCCGCATATATGTGACAGCTGTGCAGCTGTCCTGCTTGTGAGAGTCCTAACAGTGGGAGCAGAGGCTGTCTCCAACACTTTGGCTGGCTCTTGGGACCATACTCTTCATACTTCAGTCTTAAAATAAGGGGAGGTGCTTAGTCGTACCATCATTTGATAAGCCATACTTTATTGATACCCATGGGATGCCTTCCCCTTTCTGAATAGAGACAGAGGAGGAGTGGGGAAGGGGAGCAGGAAGGGGGGAATGACAGGAGAAGAAGAAGAGAAAACTTTGGTAGGGATGTAAAATAAATAAAAAGAAAAAAGAGAACAAGCAAATTGGTGACTTAAGGCTTTAAAAAAAAGATGTATGTAAATTGAGCCTTAAAAGCTTTCCTGAGCACATTTTTAATCAGGAGTAATATACTGAGTCACAAGGAAAGGTGTGAGAACTTGGGGTCTATGTATCAAGTTTGAGAAATAGTTAAAACTTACAAATACTGAGGCCAAAAAATAACCACTATGAATGCAAAAAAAGAAGAAAAAACCAAACCACTAGAGCATAATGTTCCAGACACGGCTGCCAACAACATCAAAGTCTATTTGTTCATGGCCTCTTATAAAGGTCGGTACTTTCCGTACCTGATTACACGTGTAATAAAACATAGACAGCCTTCCCACCAGCAGAGAGCCAACAAAAATCTTCCTGTTTGCTGCTCTTCAGGGCTGTCAGCAATGCCTCTGCGTGGCATCCTTGCCTGCCTGAGGCCATAGCCGCATCCCCCTGTGGCAGCTGCTTCTTATGCACTGTTTTCTGTAATGGGTTTTCCTCATTCTTAAAGAACATACACAATTGCTTCTTCCTGCTTCCAGAAATGGGACTTTCCCATTCTATAAAGAACACACACAATTGCTTCTTCCTGCTTCCGGGAATGAAATGGCTGCTTCTGGAAAGAGCATAAAGCTTGGAGGGTGAGGACTCATTCAAAGGACTCGAAGGAATCAATGTCAGTCCCCAGACCATTCAATAAGCTGGGGCTTACTTTTGAGTGCCCACTGTGTTAGCATAATAAAGTCTGCAGAAAACTAGTTTCAGTGTGTTGGCTTTTGTCTTTTGTTGTAATTCTCTTCTTTTGAGGGGATCAAATAGTTTCCAAATAAACTCTGCTAAGGTTTGAATATTGAATGCGTCTCAGACACCTATGTGCCTTGTAGCTTGTGACAATGTTAGTAGGGAAGTGGCAGAAACTCTGAAATCTGGGGTCTACTGAGAGGGAGTTAAGTCATGGGTGTCAACTCAAAAGTACAGATCTCACCCTCTAAGAGGTAGTTTACTATGGAGCCATTGTGAGTGGTCATGGCCTAGGAACACAGACTTAGGTTACTCCAAATTCCATGTTCCAACATGGAAACAGTTTTGTGAAGTTTTATACTTTTACAGAACAAAGATATGCATAAGTCAAGATGAGTTTAAAAATGCCCTAGTAGGGACATAGGAGAGGCAGAGAACAGGAATCTCTTCTAGAGGCCTTAGGCACTGTCTGATGACATTAGTTTGGAGAGGCTAGTAGTCTGCTAAGGAAATGCATTCCAAAAGGCTTTTACCTATTTCTCATAGGATGTGAGAAATCCAGGAATTCAGGGCTGGAGGTAGTCTGATAAAAGGCAATCAGCCTGTAGACTGGCAACATCCCAACCTCTGCACACCACTGCTGTTCTTACCCACCAGTCTTTGAGTAGTTTCTAGCTTCTTTGCAGGAATGCCCACTGGCACTGTGGTTGGGGTTTTGGCACACTGTGTGAGGTCTTTTGCCCTCTACCTTCCACGTCTTGACTGGGGTAGGAAAATTATAGGGTGGATCTCCCACCCTGCTGCATTGCCTTAACACAGGCCCAGAAGCAATGGGACCAACCAGCCATAGTCTGAAACCTATTCAACCTCTACCAAACGAGCCTAGAAAGTTGATGCAACATCCTTTACCAAGTAACCTTACCCTGTCTTACTCTAAAACAGAATTTTCTTCATTTCTTCCTGGTCTGCTTGCTTTCCTTCACAGACTTGAACTGTACCTCCTCCTTTGTGCCAGAAAATTCCCCCAGGATTTTAATTCCATGGCTCCATTAAACAGGGGTATAACGAATTTTGATACCTTATATCACAGAGTTCTGTCAAGAACAGTGGATGATTCTTTTGCTTCCAACTGCACTGTCAGAAACATCAGTTGAGTGTGGCTTGCCTGAGCAGCAGAGTGAATTCAAGGCCTGTCTGAACAACTCAGTGAGAACCTGCCTGGAATGCCAAGTAAAAGGCAGCCTGAGGACACAGCTCTGTGAGGGTGAGGAATAAACAGTTCTGGGAACTGCACCCGTATCCAGGAAAACGAAACTGATCCTAATGTCCATGTAATTCAATAGTGGGAATCATTCCAAAGCCAGAGTCAGAGTTTCCACGAGTCATTTCTCAGGCATCCTGAGAAGAGATTAGGTGATTAGAATGTAAAAATCCCTAAAATCCAAGATGATCGATCTACAAGCAAGACTGGAGTGTTGTGAGCTATCCTGCAGAGAGCGAGACAAAAAGTGATCTTTGCTTAGGTACGCTGCTGTGGCAGGCAGGCAAAGCCTAGGGTTTGTGAGAATGCTTCAGGGCTCCAGTCATGGCCATCAGCCAAACAAATGAGAAACTGCGTCAGTTCCTGGATTTGTTTAGGCCCTTGGCTTGGGTTTAATAAACAAATTCTATGAAAAGCCTGCAGCCACTGTCAAGGCCATAGAAAGGCATGTGGGGTTTTGTGTGTGTGTGTGTGTGTGTGTGTGCGCGCGTGTGTGTGTGTGTGCCCTTGACAGAAAGCAGAGGGGAAGACAGGAAGGTTCCACATAAAAGCATATAATCTATGTTATTTCCTTCTTTTATTGTTTTCAAAATGAAAAGCTATGAAAACAAAGATTATGCTGCCTTTCTGATGCCTTGTACCAGTGCCTAATAGTATGCTTAGCGCACAATAGCTGTCCAGCCAAGCTCTAGTGGAATAAACTGAGTGCTTTCTCAGTGAGCCTACCATACCTACCAACTAATGTCAGTACACCTAGGATCACACCATGCATGCCGACTGTTGATGATTGTGGCTTTCCCCCAGGGATCCCAGCTGAGTTTATTAAAAGCTGGAAGTTAGTTCAACTCTTAAAGAGGAAAAAGTTAGATAGAAGACACATGTCCCTCTCATCCAACATGAGAGAGTCCAGCAAAAGGATTTTGAAAATGTGTTTACTTATTTTACATCCTGACTACAGTTTCCGTTCCCTCCTCTTCTCCCAGTCTTTCCCCCCACCTCCCCTTTGTCACCACACTATCTACTCTTCTTCCTTTTCTATTCAGAAAAGGTCAGACCTCTCATGGATATGGACAAAACATGATATATCAAGATAAAACTAACCCTTGCCTTGTATTAACAATCTATGAGTATAGCAGAATATTATTAGGCATCATTACACTGACATTTTTTCCTCCTCCAGTCCTGTTTGATTCTATCCTAGGTCTCTGGGCCATCAGCCTTTGGATCTTGGTGCTCCAGGAAGTTTAAGAGGCAGGCTCCCTCTTGCGGTATAGGTGTCAGGCTGGACCAGTCATTGGTTGGCCACTCCCACAATCTCAGTGTCACCCTTACCCCAGCACATACCAAAGGCAGGCAGACTGTAGGTCAAAGGTTATGTGACTGGGTGAGTATCTCAGTCCCTCCGCTGGAAGTCTTGCCTGGTCACAGGAAATGGTCATTTCTGGATAAGTGTCTCTTATTGTTAGGAGTCTCAGCTGGGGTCATCCTTGTAGATTTCTTTGAGTTTCCCTTGCACCGGGTTTCTACTTGACCCTGAAATGTCCCCCTTTCCAGTCAACTCTGTCAGTACTCTCTCCCTACCCCATTCCCACATGTTCCCTCATGTTCCCATCCCTACCCAACCTCAGTCCACCCACAGAAGCTCTTCTTTTTTCCCTTCCCATGGAATTCAAGTGTCTCCCTGAGCCATCCTTGTTACCTAGTCTCCTTGGGCCTGTGGACTGTAGTATAATTATCCTCTATTTACAGCTAGTATCCACTTATGAGTGAGTACATAGCATATTTGTGTTTCTGGGTCCGTGTTACATCACTCGGGATGATTTTTTTCTAGTTCCATCCATTTGCCATTGTATAGGTGGAGGTTTTTTGTTTTTTTGTTTTTTGTTTTGTTTTTTTGGGGGGGTCAGGACCACCAGTTCCCCAATAGATGCACAGAGACTTAATAATAATTATAAATGCTCTGCCAGTAACACAGGCTTACTAACCAGCTCTTACACTTAAATCGAGTCATTTCTATTAATCTACATGCTGTCACATGGTGTTACTTCTCTTCCTTCTTGCACCTCCTGCTTCCTCTCTGTGTCTTGCTGGTGACTCCTCTGACTCTGCCCTCCTTCCTCTCAGCATTCTCTGTGCCCCCAAAATCCTGCCTGGCCATTGGCCAACCAGCTTTTTATTAACAATTAGAGAAATACGTATTTACAGTGTACAAAGATTGTTTCACAGCACCTTTGAATTTCATGATGTTATTGTTTTTAACAGCTCCAATGAATAAATATGTATTTCTTTATCCATTTTTCAGTTGAGGCACACCTAAGTTGTTTCCAGATTCTGGCTATACTAATAAAGCTGGTATGAACATAGTTGAGCAAGGGTCCTTGTGGCATGATTGAGCATCCTTTGGGTATATGCTCAAGAGTGATATAACTGAGTCTTGAGGTAGATTGAGTCCCAGTTTTCTGAGAAATGGCCATATTGATTTCCAAAGTGACTGTATAAGTTTGCACTCCCACCAGCAATGGAGGGGTGCTCCCTTTGCTCCACATCCTCTCCAGCATGAGCTGTCACATCTGTTTTAGATGTTAGCCATTCAGACAGGTGTAAGGTAGAATTTCAGAGTTGTTTTGATTCACATTTCCCTGATGGCTAAAGATGTTGAACATTTCTTTATGTGTTTCTCTGCAGTTTGAGATTATTCTGTCAATAATTCTGTTTAGATCTATTTCCCATTTTTTTAAAGTTGGATTATTTGGTTTGTTTGGTTTTTGATGTGTTGTTTCTTGAGTTATTTATATATTTTGGAGATCAGCCATCTGTCAGATGTGGGGATGGTGAAGAGCTTTTCCGATTTAGGCTGCCATATTGTCCTATTGACAGTGCTATTGCCTTACATAAGCTTTTCAGTTTCATGTGATATCACTTATTAATTGTCAGTTTTAGTATCTGTGCTATTGTTGTTCTATTCATGGAGTTGTCTCCAATTCCAATTCATTCAAGGCTATCCTCCACTTTCTTTTCTGTCAGGTTCAGTGTATCTGGATTTATGTTGAAGTCTTTGAACTACTGGGACATGAGTTTTGTGCAAGGTGATAGATATAGATCTATTTGTATTCTTCTATATACCATCACCATTTGTTGAGGATGCTTTCTTTTTTCCATTGTACAATTTTATTCCTTTGTCGAAAATCAGTTGTCTATCGTTATGTGGATTTACATTGATTTGATTTCATTGATCTACCTGTCTGTTTTAATGCCAATACCAAGTAGTTTTTATTACTGTATCTCTGTAGCAGAGCTTGAAATCTGGGATGATGATACCTCTGGGAATTCTGTAGATTGCTTTTGGTAAGATGACCATTTTTACTGTTAATCCTGCTGACCCATCACCATGGGAGATCTTAACATGTACTGATACCTTATCCAATTTCTCTCTTCATAGATTTGAAATTCTGGTCACTTGCTTGGTTAGTGTTACACCAAAATATTTTATGCTATTTGTAACTATTGTGAAGGATGTTGTTTCCCTGATTTCTTTCTCAGACCATTTATCATTTATGTATGACTATAAGAGGGCTACTAATTCTTTGAGTTAATCTTGCATCCAGCCACTACACTACAGGTGTTTATCAGCTTGTAGGAGTTCTCTGATAGAATTTTTGGAGTCAATTATGTATATTATCATATCATCTGCAAACAGGAATACTTTGACTTCTTCCTTTACCATTTGCATCCCCTTGATGTCCTTTACTTGTCTTA